CTCTCTCTCTCTGAACCTGTTTTCCCCACGTTTTGTTTTTCTTGTTTTCTTCTTGTTTTTTTTGGTTTGGTTTTGTTTGGTTTTGCCTTTTTTTAAATTTGAGGGTCATGGAATTTGGCTGGATATCCTCGATCGTTCACTAATGACGCAACGGTTCTGTGCGGAAAGACTTGTGTGTTCAGCAGGAATGTTTGGAAGCGCAGTCAGAAGTTTTGCACACGGTACTCCACTGAAAAACTTAGTCATGTTGAGTAGGCCCACGTCCTGGTTATCTCACCTGACTCAGTTCAGCGCCCTGGGGAAAAATAGCACCCCCTTCTTTAGTTTAATTTAGTTTTCGCAAGAGTTTTACGGCTCTTGCAACACAATAAGTTCATATAAGATAAGTGCCGAAGAATAGATGCGTTACAAGAGAGTAACATACACAAGAAAGAAGGAGACAGGTGCCGTAAAACTCTTACTAAAACTAAACTAGATAGATGTATAATAGGAAAGGAGCAAACCACTCAAGAGCACCCGCCAACCACCCACTCCCCCTTCTTTAATAACTTCTGTAGGTGGGTGGTTGGTGTGCGCCACTGATAGGTCCTACTTCTTTTCTTTCTTTCCCTGTTGTTTCTGTCTGTCTGTCTGTCTGTCTGTCTGTCTGTCTGTCTGTCTGTCTGTCTTGCTTCTTCCCTGCACTAAATGACCATTACTGTGAATGTCGATGTGGCTTCTATTTACTCGAACTCAAAACTAGTTTCCTGAACTGACTCGGCGCGCTGTTGAGAAGAAGCAAACCTTTGATAACTTCTGTCGCTGGGTGGTTGAAGGGTGTCTCTGGTAGATCCAGCTCATTCTTTTCGCTCCCTCTGTTGTTGCTTTCTCTTTCTGTCTTACTTTTCCCCGCTCTAAGTGACCGTAGTAGTGGCCTATACCATACAAGTGGAGAAAGGCATTAATGACGATGAAGTGGCCGTAGTTATAGTGCCTCTGTGCTTCTCGTTATTGAAACGAAACACTTATAATGATTTCTGTCGTTGAACTCTGGCTAGTGGTGGGCAAAATCCGGATAACACATCCGTATAACCGAATAATTCTCAATGAAACA